TTTTTTATGGTGATTTAATAGAAGAATTTAAGACGTCTCAGCGCTAGATGCTTGGTTTTATGAAAAGGTATAAGCTTGCGCTATGTAGACGAACTAGAATATCCTAAAAACTTCCTGATAAAAATTGAGAACTGTTAGAAAGTTTTTATGAGTTTGTTACTAAACTAAGAATTGAAAAATGTTTTGAATTAAAAAACATTTTCAACATGGACGAGAAACCAGTATGGTTTGATATGGTCAGCGTTTATACAATTAACCAGAAAGGAGAAAAAACTGTTCACGTTCGTGCAACTGAAAATGAGAAAAATCAATTTACCATTGTTCTTACAATTGCTACAGGTATCGTCTGTTTTTTCTTTTCTTTCTGTTTCTTTCTAATTTTAACTTTCTTTTTCTCATTATTTTACTATAGATGGATCTAAATTTCCTCTGATCTGTATTTTCAAAGGCAAATGAATGTCACGCAGAGAAAAAATTCCTCCCAGAGTTGTTGTTTGGTTCCAGAGTAATGGTTGAATGGATACTAACCTAATGATAAAATATGTTGATTATTTGAATAAGTTAAGGGTTAAAAACGAAACTCAGGAAGATTCATCGATGCTTGTATATGACTCTTTCAGAGGCTACTTAGAAAAATTGGTTAAACAAAAGTTTTGTGAAAGTGGCATCCATCTCGCGGTAATTCTAGGTGGATTAACTAACATATGTCAACCACTCAACGTCTCAATAAATAAGCCATTCAAAGACAAACTCTGTAAAGAATGGCATACATGGATGGCAAGCGGTGATGTAGGAGAAACTGCTGCAGAAAATCTTCGCCGTGCCAGTTTTAGTGATGTATGTTTATGGGTTAAATGTGCTTGGGAAGGCATTTCTACAGAAATTATTTTCAACTCCTTTAAAAAATGTAAAATTTCTAACGATTTGGGCTTGAATTCAAAGATTTCTAATAGTGATATTAGTGATGATAGTGATGATGATTACGATTTTTATGATGATGATGAAATCAATAATGACAAAATCATTGGTGATGATGAAATCAATGATGACGACGAAATCATTGGCGAAGATGATATTGTGTAAATTTTTTTTATATTATACGATTATTATAGGTGATGTTTATATTTTTTTTGTTAGTTTATATTTTATTTACATAATACATTAATACTTTAGTTTTCATTAATATAAACATTTTATTTGCTATAACAATTAATAAAATTATAATTACGCGATCATAAAAAGCTTGATTGTAAGGGGTGCTTATTTACGGGTCTTATATATAACTGGGGGTATTTATTTTCAGAGAGTGCTTACTTTCAGAAGAATATGGTAAATATAATAGAAATAACTGAATGAAATAGAAAAATAAAGTAAAAAAATTTATTTTATTAATATTTTTTTTTAAAAATATTAAGATAAAAATATTTATAGTTTTAATGATTATAATATGAAAAGTATTATTAATAGATTAATAAAAATCAAGTTATAAAATATAATAAATCATATGGCATTTTGTAGTAAAAAGAAAATTTTTAAAAAATTAATATTAAATCTGAATTTATTTTACTAAAAAAAAAAATCATATTTAGTTTATTAAAGTAAAAAATTTTTTTTTTAATAATTTTTACCTTTATATTATTCCTTAAACTGTAAAGATTCACAAGCAAATTTGTCTACTTATTACTATAAATCCTCTTCTAATTTATTTTTTTTATTTAAAATTTTATAAATAAATACAATATATAATATTATTAAATTTTATTTTTTAATTATATAATAAATAATTTAAGTTTATTTATAAACTAAAACTTTGTAATTTTTAAAAAATTATAAATTAAAAAATTTTATCATTGATCTTTAATTATTTTATTAATATTTACTTTTAGTATAATGGAATATTCTAAAATTTATTATGAAGAATAACTTTAATTATTACAATTTTTATAATTTACTAAGAAATTTTATTATTTTTATTAATAGTAAAGTATAAATTTTAAGAAAATTTTTAAAAATTTTTTATAATAAAATTTTTAAAATTTAATTTTAAAAATTTAATTATTTAAAAAACTTCTTAATAAACTTAAAATTTCTTTTATCGTCATTTTCAAAATGATGTAGTATATGTCAATTATACATAAAATTTAAATACTCATTATAAATATCAATTATGTAATAAAAACATAAAAATTGACTAATAAAATGTTAATATTATTATATGACTTATGCAAACTAATAAATGATTACATGAAAAACTTTAATTTTTATTTATATTTTATAACTTTAAATTCTTATTTTATGTAATTACATATTAAATCCTAATAATATTTTAGTTTAAAGATATAAATAGTCTAAATTTTCATAGAAAATTCTATTTAAAAAAAAGAAAAATAGACATATTTAATATTATAATAAAAAATATATACCATATTTTACCAATTTTAAGCATCAAATTTTTGAAGGGAAAATCAGACTAAAACTCAGGGTGGTGTTTAAAATCAGAAATTTTCATGTATTACTTTATTATTTGTGGCTTTTTTTTTGAAAAAAAAAAAATTTAATATTTGAAAAATTTAACAAAATTAAATAATATTTTAATAAAAATGTTTTTAATTTTCTTTTGTAAAAATAAATATGATAACTTTTATTGTAATATTATACAAAATAAATATGACTAGTATTAGTAAACTTACCAGTTACCACTTTTTTTTGTCTTAATGTTCAAAGTTCAACATTCTTCTTATTCTGCTTCAGAAAAGCTTGAGGTTTTGCAATATGTAAAATTACATAGTTTAAGGATTGCTTCTCATCATTTTACTATCAATCATTCAATGATTTCTCGTTGGCAAAAAAAAAGAAGAAAAACTTAAATCTACAAAAGACAAAAATCGACAAGTTGATGTTAGAAGAAAAGCACATTATCCTGAGGCTAAAGCTAATTTAAAAACATGACTTTTGAAATTTTGAAGAGATAGAATTGCTGTTACTCTTAAAATAATTAAATTTTATATGAAAAAACTTTTAACAAAACAATTTACTAATACTTATCCAAATGGTAAAAATTTTTTAGCTTCAGATTGTTAGTTTTATTATTTTCTTAAAAGAAATGGGTTTGTTTTATAACATAAAACAAAAATTAGTCAAAAGCTTCCTATTCACCTTGATGAAAAACTTTTAGAATTTCAATGATATATTATTAAAAAATGAAAAAAGTTTGAGTATAAACTTTTTGAGATTAGAAATATAGATGAAACTTCTATTTTTTAATATAATTGGAAGTTTGATTATTGAAGAACATAGTGCAAAAACTGTTTAAATCTGAATAACTGGAAATGAGAAAAATTAGTTTACATGTATTTTTAAAGTTCTTGCAGATGATATAAAACTATCACTAATTATTATTTTTAAAGGTAAAATAGTACCAAAAAATTTACTTTCTGAAATTATTATATTAATGTATCCAAAAGGATGGATAGATGTATCCAGAATGAAATTTGGTTTGATAAAGTTTAAAAAAAAGACTTGGAGGAAATGGAGTTAAACAAAAAAGTGTGCTTCTTATTATAAATAATTTTGAAGGTCACAAAATAAATTTTATCAAAAATATTACATTAAATGCAAATATTGATTTAATAATTATTTTTGGTGATCTTATCTTTATTATTCAACTGCTTGATATTTGTCTTAATAAGTCATTTAAAAATAGACTTTGTGAAAAGTGAAATGCTTGGATAAGTTCAAGTTAGTTTACTTATACTAAAGGTGAAAATTTAAAAAAATCTGATTATAGTATTATTTATAAGTGGATTTTTGAAGCTTGGGCAGAAATTTTAAGAGAAATGATTGTAAAATCATTTAAAAAGTATAGTATTAGTAATGCAATAAATGGGTCAGAAGATGATTTGTTTGAATAAAATGAAACTGAAAAAAATGATAATGATGAAAGGGAAATATTAAATATAAATAATGATTCAATTGATGAATATTTAACTGATGAGTTTGATAAATAGATTTTTCAAAATAAATATATATGTATTGATATAAATAAAATCTTCATTTTGAATTGTTAAATAAATTTATTTTAAGTTTTAGGTGATGCTTATTTTCGTTCTTTAGGTCATTTTATTCAAAGTCAGAATGATACTTAAAATTAAGTGGTACTTAAAATCAGTAGAATACGGTATATAAAAAACATTTTTAAAGTTGATAAAATTAAATTTTGAGCATTTTCGTACTTACCAAATAACTTTATTTAATTTTTAAATCTAATTTACTTGCTCAAAGTTATTCTGTGTAATATTTATTATAATAAAAAGGTACATTTTAGTTTTGTTATAAAGAATATATATAATTCTGCCAATATTTGTAAAATTTTAATGAAAATTACATTCTTATATTTCAATATTTATAAAACATCTTTGTATAATCTCTAAAGCCCATTTGAATTTACATAAAATGTTAATTTACATTAAATAATACTATATAATTACAATGAATAAAAATTTTAAATTATTTATAAAATCCTATTAATATTATCAGTATAATTGATTTTAACTACTATAACAAAAGAAAAAATAATGTCTAAGAATATAAAAATATAATAAAAACTTCAAAGGTTTAAAAGAGATATAAGAGTCTTTTAGTAATTACTAATAATCACAATAATTACTAGTAATCACAAATTTTGAACGAAAGAAACTTAAAATAGTATATAATAACTTGACTCAAAACTTAAAGAGAAGCTGTAAATAAATCTAATAATAGAAGTATTGCTGGAAAATCTTGGATAATCTCTAGAAAAGAACGCAACACATATAACTTCAAGCAATAAACTCAAGTTCGCGATCGTAACATAGGCCGGTCATGTGGACCGATCACTAGCCAAAAAACACGTGCTAGTCATAGGGTACTTCCATTACGCGTGACGCGTCATCTTCAAGTTGTATAAATCTTATATCTGATATTATTTCCTGCTTAACTTTTTAACTCCAACAGATTTCTCCATGGTAAGGCTTAACATCCCAAAAGCATATTCTACTTACTCTGTGTCGCTGCTCGTCAGAAAATCTCTAGATATTTCGTCCTGGTTTTCAGAAACAAAACTTGTTGATTGGAAAAATTTCGCTCAGTACATTGCGAAACTGAATGAGGACAAACTCGATAATAATGCATATGACGCTTTTTGCAACGCGCTAGAGCAAATAGTTACAAAGGGGCGGAATCATGATATTCCCCTCGTCGTTTGTAATTTTACATGCAACTTAAATGAATGGCTGGCGGTATGTATTTGTAAATTTCGGTACCCTACGAAATCTGCATCCGTATTCTGACCGTCACTGTGTAGGTAAAGTCAAGGAAGAAAGAGTTCATGAAAGAAATCAGTGAAGAGAAGACTCGAAGACAAATGAAAGCGAATTTGAATAAGAGAAAGATGGAAGAGGAAATATCTCGGGTATATTTGTCTTCATCTTATGCTGTTTTGTTTGTATGTATCTACAACTATTACATTTATTTATTTCAGGAGGAATTCCGCTTGCAATGCCGTAAGGCGTCATACCAATCTGCAAACCAAATGGTAGAAATCGGGCTCCAGATGCAGTATGCAGTGTACAATAAAGAGCCACTTCCTATTGATAAGAATGAATTCCTTATAAAGTTGAGCGACGAAGATGCAAAAGATGCAGAAGACAATGAATTTGCCAATGGTGGATCTACCAATAATGATGAATCTATTAATGATGGTGAATCTATCATATTTGATGAACCTACCAATGATGGTGAACCTATCAGTGATGATGAATCTTCCAATAACGTTAATGGCGAAAGCGATGAAAACTCTACCAAGACAAGAACAAACTAGCAAAAAACAGTCAGAGGATAACACCCACCTTAGAGATCCTTTTTTCTAACATCCACTGCATATTAGATCCGGAAGATGTTCAAAAGTATGATTCAAAAATTTGAAGCATAATAATAACCTTAAGGGGCTTTTGCTAACTATATTTACTCTGCTGTAGATACATAAATAATAAAATTGTACCCATTTTTTTGCCGAGAGTTGTTGAGGCTATCAAGCTCGCGTTCACTCAAGAAGAACTAGGAGTTCTGCGAGAAGCACTTACACCATTGTCAGAATCTTTTTTTTTCGGTAAAGCCGCTGAAAAATATCTATCTGAGCTTACTGCATCGGAATCATTCACAGAATTCAAGGTCACCGTTGAGATGAAGTTCCCATATAGAGACGAAATAGCAAATTACAGTTACATTAAGAACCCGGATATCGATTTAATATGGATGTATGGTAGGGTACTCTGGCGTCAGTTTGAGATCACACCGGTCTTAAAGAATATTCCAGAACGCCAATGGACAATTATGGTTGTGGAAAAGCACTTTGCAACGGCTTTGGCTAGTATACCGGAGTGTTTTTGGGAACCGAACGAAAAAAGAATTTGGCAAACTCTCGAGGCAAAACCGTATAAAAAATATGCAGATGGAATCTTTACATGTGAAGCGACAAAAATGATTTTTTTTATTCTAGAAGTGAGTGGAGGACCAGGGGGTGCACCTGGATCAAAGCTACAAGGTGATCGTGAAAAAATCATGAAATGTTTTACATACTTGTTCGACAAGATGTTGAGAAAGCTCGGCCCCGTTTCCGTGGACGATTGCAATGGAATTTCCTTGTGGGCGGGACAAGTTTCCTGTTAGTAATGCATTCATTAGACATAAAAGATTACAAACAATTAATTGATTGGTTCTTCCTTGTTGTAGATGAACAATGTACGATATTTATATGCTTCATTGCAAGTCCCCAGAAATATGTTATTCAAGAAATAAAGACCATTGACCTTATCACGTCAAGCAATCAACTGTACATGGCAGAAATGTGGATAAGGTTGCTTGGGCTCATCCGAGTAAGCTATATGTGTTTGATGTTTTAGTTAATAGATTTTGCTCATATAATCTGACATATTAAATTCATTCCGATTATGGCGAACTAGTATAACATCACCAAGAGCATCCACAAGTATCGGCAACTTCAACGCCAATCAAGCCTTCAAAATGACAAATCACTATATATTAAGACCAATCTTTCTCCAAATAAGAAGCAGAAGCTCTGTGTTAATCCATTTGACTGAGAATTCGCGTTGGGCAGACTGACATCACGTGATTCCCGTATTAAGTTCTGTAATAACTGTCATGTTTTAATAGCTATTATTTTTTTGCAAATAAATATTTCTTAATATGCTTGATCCATGCGAATATAAAAAAAACGTAAAATTCTATTTGCTCGGTGGCTGGCAGGGGTACAGAGTCACCATTAGCTCTTCCGTCGCGTTGGTTGCCAAACTTTCGTTCTTACGAAAGCCGACTCAAGAGGGGACGAAGAGCCAGTCAATAATGACTGTTGGCCTCTTGCCTTTACACTTCCCCTAAGCGTGAAGAACGTTAGGTTAGGCGGATGGGGGTGTCTGCCATCACTGTTCTCACTTTACTTTCAACAATCTACCACACTATCGGTTGAACAAGGGTACAGAGTCACCATTAGCTCTTCCGTCGCGTTGGTTGCCAAACTTTCGTTCTTACGAAAGCCGACTCAAGAGGG